AACAAGAACAAACATCTGAGACTGAAAATAAGCAGCAGAAGTAAATCCAAAAGAGAACCAGGGTGCTTATACAAGCATCAGACAAAATAGAATAAAGATTTTTTTTTAAATTTTTATTCATTTATGATAGGCACACAGTGAGAGAGAGAGAGAGGCAGAGACACAGGCAGAGGGAGAAGCAGGCTCCATGCACCGGGAGCCCGACGTGGGATTCGATCCCGGGTCCCCAGGACCGTGCCCTGGGCCAAAGGCAGGCGCCAAACCGCTGGGCCACCCAGGGATCCCCCAAAATAGAATATAATTTAAAAACTGTCACAAGAATCAAAGGAAGACATTTATATTAATCTTAAAAGGTCAGCCCATCAAGGAGATATAACAATTGTAAATATATAAACACCAAACAGCAGAACCCCCAAAATAGATGAACCAAAACCCAACAGAACGGGAGAAGCAGGCAGTTCAACAACAGTGGCGGGGAATTCTGCTTCCCCGTTTCCGTAATGGGTTGAGCAACTAGATAGAAATTCGTTAAGGACATAAAGGGCTAGAATGCCATAAGCTAACCAGCTCTCGCAGACATCTACAGAACATCTCACCCAACAGCAGCAGAATTCACATCTTCTCAAGCGCACGGGGAACATTCTCAAGGACAGACCACGTGTCAGGCCACATGACAAGCCCCCATAAGTTTAACACTGAAATAATATAAATCTTCTCTGACTGCAATGAAATGAAGCTAGAAATAGTAACAGGAAGCAAAGTGGAAAATCCAAACACGCGCATGTGACAGAGGACACTTTTAAATAACCAGTGAGCCAAAAAAATAAATCACAAGATAAATTTTTAAAATACTTGAAGACTGTAGAAAAACAGTTACAGGATGCAACAAATGCAGCGTGGGGGAAATTTATAGCTATAATTGCCTAGTGCATAAAACAAATCTACAAGCTCACTTTACACCTTAAGGAACAAGAAAAGAAGAGCCAACTAACCCCAAAGCCAGTAGATGTGAAGAAATAAAGATTTGACGGCTGTGGGAATTAATAAAAGGAAACCCTAGTCTACAGTGGAGTCTGCCGGCAGGGGGCGCTCTCAACACCCAGCAGGACACTTGCACCTTGCCTGTGGCTCCCACTTTACTACCCTAACTGGAGGAAGGAGGCTTCCCCCTCCTCCAGCAACAGCTCAGCCAATGAGAAGCCACGACACTTCTACCTCCCATTTTCCTCCAATGGACTCTCAGTTTACAACAGCTCCTCCAATCCTTTCCTCCAAGGAAGAGCCTCCAATGCTCTGTTCCCAGATCTGGGGAAGGCTTTGCCCTAGCTTGCTTGTCTTGGATTGCAAGTCTCTCCTACTCCAGAATAAAGCCATCTTTGCTGGTAAAATAACTGGCAGTTTTACTTTTAAGGTTGAAAGAGGAGAGAAATGAAATAAAAAAAATAGAGAATCAACAAAACAAGCTGGTTGGACAATTCTTTATATAGGCTACAAAAAAATAAGATTCATATTACTAAAATTGGAAATGAATAAAAACATTACTGGATTTTACAGAAATAAAAAATAAGACATTACTGTGAACAATTAAGTGCAAACATACTAGAAATCCTACAAAATGGACAAAGTCCTAGAAACATACAATTACTGAAACTGACCCAAGAAGAAATAGAAAATCTAAACATACCCTATACTAAGAGATTGAGTCAGTAATAAACAATATCAACATCCCACAAAAGGAAAGCCCAGGACCAGATGTCTTTGTAGATAAATTCTACCAAATATTAAAGAACTAGCATCAATCCATCCCAAACTCTCCCACATGACAGGAAAGAACACCCTGTAATTCATTCTGTGAGGCCAGCATAATCCCAATAATAAAGTCTGACAAAGACATCACAAGAAGAAAAAAAGAAGATAAATTAGTATCTTAAAAATATAGATGCAAATATTCTCAAGAAAATATTAACAAATACAATCCAGCAATATATTAAAATGATTAGACATCATGATCTTGTGCGATTTAACCCAGGAATACAAGGATGGTTCAACATACAAAAATTAACGTAATATGCCACATTACTAGAAGAAAGGAAAAAATTCAACATCATTTCATTTCATGATAAAAACACCTAAACTAAAAATGGAAAGAAAATATCTCAAAATAATAAAGGTCACTTTGGAAAAACCCAAAGCTAATATCATCCTCGGTAGTGAAAGAAAGCTGTCCTAAAATCAGAAAAAGACAAGGATGCTCATTTTCACCACTTCTGTTCAATATTATACCAGAAGTGCTGGCTGGAGCAATAGGCAGAAAAAGAAATAAAAGTATCTTAATTGTAGGTAACACTTATATGTAGAAAATCCTTTAAAAATCCACAAACACAACATCAGAGCTAATAAAGAAATTCACGGGCACCTGGGTGGTCAGTCGGTTAAACATCCGACTCTTGATTTCTGCTCAGGTCATGATCTCAGGGTCCAGAGTTCAGGCCCCTTGTTGGGCTTCATGCTGGCATGGAGGGAGGAAAGGAAGGAAGGGAGGGAGGAAAGGAAGGAAGGGAGGGAGGAAAGGAAGGAAGGAAGAGAGGAAGGGAGAAATTTGGCAAAATTGTAGCATATAACATCAGTATTCTAAAAATCACTTGTATTTCTACACACTAGCAATGAACAATCTGAAAAGGAAACAAAATAATTTCATGTACAATAGTATCAAAAAGAATAAAATACTTTAGAAATAAATATACTCAGGGAACTACAAGGCTTGTATACCCAAAACCACAGAACACTTCTGAAAGAAATTAAAGATGACCTCAATAAATGGAAAGACATTTGGTGTTCAAGGATCAGGAGACTGAATATTGCTAAGATGGCAGTATTTCCAAATATCCCCAAAGCATTCTATAGATTCAATGCAAAACGCTACCAATATTCCATGACCTTTTGGACAAAAACAGAAAAAGTGATTGTAAAATTCATATGGAATTGCTAGTTTTCCCAAATAAAACAATCTTGAAAAGAAACAGAGTTGGAGGACTCACACTGTACATATTACAAAGCTACAGTTATCAAGAGAGTGAGGCACTGGCATGAGGACAAACATACAGACCTATGAATAGGATGGGGAGTCCAGACAATCACCATACAAGTGGTGTCTTCAAGGATGCACACACAATTCAGTGGGGAAAGAACAAGCGTTTCAACCAATGATGCTGGGCACGCAAAACAATGAGGCTGGACTCTCATCTAACACCACAGGCAGGGACGCCTGGGTGGCTCAGCAGTTGAGTGTCTGCCTTCTGCTCAGGGCATGATCCTGGGGTCCCAGGATCGAGTCCCACATCAGGCTCCCTGCATGGAGCCTGTTTCTCTCTCTGTCTCTGCCTGTATCTCTGCCACTCCCCCTCTGTCTCTCATGAATAAATAAATATAATCTTTCAAAAAAAACCATAGGCAAAAATTAAATTGGATCAAAACTCTAAATCTAAGAACTGAAATTGTAAAATGCTTAGAAGACAGGAGCAAATATTCATAATCTTGATTTTAGTAATAGTTTCCTACATGATGCCAAAAGTATGAGCATGAAGAAAAAATTGCACTTCACTTTTTTTTTTTGCATCAAAGGATGCAATAAGAAAGTAAAATGGATTAAAGGATTAAAGGAAATATTTAAATATTTGTAAATCCTATATCTGATAAAAATCCTAAATCTGATAAAACCGATAAATCCGATATATCCGATAAAACAGAATACGTATAGAATACTTTAAAAATCACCAACAAAAAGGCAAGCAACGCTGGTAAAAATAGGCATGGGATCTGCAGCATCATTTCTCCAAAGAGGAATCCGGGGCCAGTAAGCACAGGAGATGGTCCATAGCAGCCGCCGCTGGGGAGCCGCAGATGGAGAACACAGGGGGACGCCTCACCCGCAACCCCGAGGGCTGTAGCCGCGAGACAGGCGGCGGCGGCGGCGGCGGCGGCGGCGAGAATGCAAATAACTCCTGGAGGAGTCACTCTGGCCGGCACACCTGCACCGACGGGCACACCTGCAGGGGGCGGGGCACACCAGAAGGCGGTGCCAGGAGCGCTGGAACGAGCGCACGCTGCAGCGACGAGTGCACCTGCACCAAGTGGAGCACACCTGCACCGGGCTGGGAGCACCTGCACGGGTGACGCACGCGGCACTCCCTGCCCCCGACCAGGGCCGGAGTCCCAGCCCGAGGGCCCGCTCTGCAGGCGCCCCTGAGGGGCAGACGGGGACTTGTCCCCCGCGGTGACCAGAACACTGTGAGCTTCGCATCACCAGGAACGTCTGTAAAGCCAGGGACGCTCCGACACGCGGAACGGTGCCCCGAAGGGTGTCTTCGCAAAACCCAGAAACGGGCCGGGGAGCCCGGGTCCCGTGAACGTCACCTGTCCCCTAGCCACACCCAGACGCGAAGGTCAACGCCCCTTACCTGGAGTCTGCATAGGAGAACCCCGCCGCCACCAGAGCCTCCCGAGCAAGCCCACACCTTCCCCACAGCACACTCCGCCCCCGCGACGCCCCGGCCCTCGGCCGGCAGCACACCTGAGCGCCCGCCGGCCGCGCCCCGGTCACGCCCTCGCACGAGGACGCCCCCGGCCGCGCCCCGGCCACGCCCCCCGCACGAGGACGCCCCCCGGCCGCGCCCCGGCCACGCCCCCTCACGAGGACGCCCCGGCCACGCCCCCGCACGAGGGCCCCCGCCCCTTCTGCCCCAAGCCCCTCCCCCGACCCGGCCCCCGCTCGGAGAAGCCCTGCCGGCCACGCCCCAGGGCCACTCCCGGCGTCCACCTGGCCGCGCTGGACGCCACCTCCGCCACCTCCGCCACCTCCGCCACCTCCGCCACCCCCGCGGCCCGGACGAGGGCGCCGTGGGCCTCCCCGGCCCGCCCCGCCCGGCCCCTACCCTGCCGCCCAGGCCCCGCCCCCCGCGCCCTTCCACGCTGACCCAGGTCGGCCGAGCGCACGGACGCCCATGGAGCGGGAGCCCCTGGTGGCGCGCTCCGGCCGGGCCCGGCGTGTGCTGGCCGCCGCCTCGTGGCTGCCGTGCGTGGCCCTGGGGCTGGCGCTGGGCTCGGAGCCGCTGCTCACCGCGCCGCCCGCCCACCACTGCCGGCCGGACCTCGCGCTGCTGCCCCCCGCGCTGCGCGCCCTCCGCGGACCCGCGCTGCTGGCCGCCAGTGTCCCCCGCCTGGGCCCCTCGGGCGCCCTGAGCCCCTGCCTGCCGCTGCGCTACCCCAACGGGACCCGGCCCTGCACGCGCGGCTGGCACTACGCGCTGCCCGCCGCCGGCCTGCTGCGGAGCCCCGTGACCCAGGTGCAACCCCGACGCGCGAGCGCGCTCCTCCCCCGCCCCCCTGTTTCTGTCCCCCTGCTCGCCTGCGCTGGGGCCGGGGGCTCTCTGCTGGGCTCGTGCTTGGGGGTCAGAGGATGTGGCAAAGGCCCGGGTAGGGCGGCCCCAGGCCTAAGGGCAGAGCCTACTGCCCGAGGACTGCCAGGGCCGGCAGGAAGAGGAGTTCCGCGGAAGGTATGAGCAGATAGGGCCACCACTTCAGTGCCGCCGACCTCTAGAGTAAGCTCTGGCTTTGGGCTATGTAGGTGTCGGGGTGGCTCCTGAGACAGGGCTTTGAGTCAAGGTAGCCAGTAGAGATCCATTTGGGAAAAGCAGACCTTCCACCTGAGGAGTAACCGAGGGGCATGCAGGGGTCCCGGTGGGAAGAGATGGGGAGGGGCCCGTTGGAACCTCGCAGGCCCCTCTCCCTCTCATTGTGCCCTTGGGCTGGACCCGCCAGCTCTGCCCCTTCCTGGCCTCTGCCCCACAGCCTGACTGACCCAGGGTGCACAGGGTTGCTGCATCCCTGCCCAGAGCCCTGAAACTGGTTGGGGTGCTTTTCCTCCATCCCATTGTCTCTGCACCTGCCCTCTTGTTGGAGGACTGATTCGTCAGCACGCCACCAGCTTTCACGAGCATTCGGTTTTTAACATAAACATACTCTGACCTAGTACCATTTAAGACAATATGTTAGATTTGGGGAGAAGGCGCAGAAACCAGGAAGGGAGGGTGGGGAAGTGCACAACTGAGATCAGGCGCCTCAGGAAAAGCAGGTGAGCACAGCCTTGCAGCTTCCTCTGGGAGTCATTCTTGAAGGAGTGAGGTTTGGGGGGCAAGGCCGGGAGGCCCTAGGCACAGCTTAGCCCTGGGTCACCTGTGTGGGAGTGGGACCCTCTCCAGAGAAATAGCAGACTTGGGTCTCCATGGGGTGTCCTGAGACCCCTGTCACCCCCTCTGGGGGCTCAGACCAGCACTTGTTCACATCGCAGCATCAGAAGAATATGCCATGTGACCTTGAGCAAGTCCTTCCCCCATGCCTCAGTTCCCCCGTCTCCAGAGAGGACTTGATCTCTCCGGCCCTGGTAGCCTGACATTCTGGGAACTGCAGCAAGGGGAGGGTGGTCCTTCTCAGTTAACAGGTGATTGGCGTCCCCCACAGTGGAACCTCGTGTGTGAGGATGGCTGGAAGGTACCCCTGGAGCAGATGAGCCACCTCCTAGGCTGGCTGCTGGGCTGCGTCCTGCTGGGCACGGGCTGTGACTGGTGAGTCCTGCCCCAGCCGCGCTCCTGTCAAGGCTCCAGGGTCTGGCTAGATCCCCGAGCTGTCCTGACCTCATCCGCACATGTCCCCTGCTGCCCCAGGTTTGGACGTCGGGCTGTGTTCGTGGCCTCCCTGGTGCTGGCCACGGGCCTGGGGGTCAGTGAGGCCCTGGCTGCCAGCTTTCCTGCCCTGCTGGCTCTGAGGCTGCTGCACGGGGGGGCCTTGGCAGGCTTTTCCCTTGCCCTCTACGTGGCTCGTGAGTAGCACGGGGTGCTTCTGGGGCCAGCTCCTTGGGCCAGGCCTCCTCCTCAGCTCAGCTGTGGGGCCAGTCAGGTGGTGTGGGAGGCCCCTCTGGCACTCACTGAGGGCTCTTCTTGAGAGGGCGGGAGGGGCACTCTGTTCTGGGAGCTCTGCTGTCGGCCGGCATTTCCGGTCACTGGAGGAGGCAGTACCTGGGGTTGGCCTCAGACACCATAGGTTAGGGAGAGTCCCCCACAGCCCTGGACAGGGCGGCTCTCCCGAGGGGCCTCGGTCTCAGGCTGTTTCTGCCCCGGCTTGGAGCTGTGTGACCCCCCCAACCGCCTGGTATTCTCCGCAGCAGCAGGCCTCTTCTTGGTGCTAGCCCTGCTCGCACAGGACTGGCGCCTTCTGCAGGGGCTGAGCGCCCTGGTAACAGGACTTTTGCTGCTCTTTTGGGGGTGAGTATGGTGGTAGGTAGTTCAGTAACACTTCCCCGTGCACCTTTGTACAGCACCGGCATGTGAGTATGGGGCAGGAGAGCCATGGCTTGTCCTCATCCCCTGGGTCGTGGGAGGGGGCACTGGCCCCTGGTCCCTGCCATCCTTGCACAGAGGACCCATGAGCATCTTCACCCCACACTTGCAGGTTCCCAGCCCTGTTCCCTGAGTCTCTCTGCTGGCTGCTGGCCACAGGACAGCCAGCCCGAGCCAGGAGGATCCTGTGGCATTTGGCGGAAGCTGAGGGTGAGGACCCCGAGGACAGCCCGGAGGAGGAGAGCTCCCTGGCTACAGGTAATGCTCCAGCCAGGAGAGGGGAGACCTGGGTCCTGGAGGAGGGTCAGCCCCTCATATGAGCCCCCTCCTGTCCCCGGAGCCACAGAACTGGACATGCTGGGTGCAGGGAGCCCTCAGCCCTAATACCACTCCATCCTGGAGCTCTGGCACACCTGTGTCGCCTGGAGAGATGGACTCATCCTGGGCTTCAGTTCGTGAGGACGGGAGGGCATGGGTGGGTGGGCTGACGGTGTCTGAGCCTTCCTCCCAGGGTGGGTCTTTGGTCTCTGGAGTCCCCTGTCCTGGTTGGGCCATCACTCTGCCCTCCCTCTCACCCTCCCTCTCAGGCTGATCTGTGGGGGCATCAGAGCCAGCTTCCTGCACAGCCTGACCCCGAGGGACCCCGCCTTCTACCAGCCCTACTTCCTGGGCGCTGGCCTGGAGGCTGTAGCCATCTTGTTGCTGCTGCTCATGGGGGACCGCTGGGGGCGACGCCCGGTCCTATTGCTGGGCACCCTGGTCATGGGCCTGGCATCCCTGCTGCTCCTTGCTGGGACCCAGTGTGAGTGTGGGGCCCTGCAGGCTGTGGAGGTCTGACTGGTGCGGGGGGGGGGGATGGGTCCTGGGATCAGCCCCTTCCTGGGCCCCCAAGAGAGGCACAGAGTGCTGGGATAAAACTGTGCTTCTTACCCCATTCATGTCCCCACTGTGAATCCAGAGAAACTGACACCCAAAGAGTTAAAGTGCCCAGAGGCTCCTCCAGAAGGGGCTCCATATAAGGGTCTGGTTCAAGTCGGTGGCAGCTGAATGCCTGACCCCTGTCCTCCCAGCACAGGGTGCAGTGTAGGGCTGGGAGACTAGGCCCCTGGGCAGTGTGAGAGCCTTCTCCTTGTCCCCAGACTTGCCAGGCTGGACTGTGGTGTCCCTCTCTGTCCTGGGCCTCCTGGCCTCCCAGGCCATGTCTGCACTCAGTAGCCTCTTAGCGGCAGAGGTGCTCCCCACCGTCATCAGGTAAGCTGCTGGCTGCCAGGCCAGCCCCTTCCCAGCTTGGCCCAGCACACCCAGGTGGCCTGGGGACACTAGTCACAGAGGGGAGCAGGGGAGCAGAGGAGCAGAGTTCCCAGGGAAAAGCAGGTTTCTGATTTCCAGGTGGGCGAGGAGAACTTTTTTCCACACACACTTTAAAGTTTGGTCTCCCTGGAGCCCCCAGCCTTGCTCCCCTGTCCCGGGGCATCCCTGGCAAGCCCCCCATGGCACCCTCTCCCATAAGGGGGCCGGGCTGGGCCTCGTGCTGGGGGCTGGCTTCCTGGGCCAGGCAGCTGCCCCCCTGGCCGACCTGCACGGCCGGCGCGGCTTCTTCCTGCACCACGTAGTCTTCGTGTCCTTTGCCGTCCTCGCCTTGCTGTGCATCCTGCTGCTGCCTGAGAGCCGGGGCCACCCACTGCCTGCGTCACTGCAGGACGCTGACCGCCTGTCCCTGCTCCACGGGGGCACCCCTGCCGGGCCCCCCTGGACCACCTGCCACTGCTGCCAGCCTCCCGCCAGCTGGCAGGGACGCCACAGGTCCAGGAGGGCTGACCAGGAGCCAAGGCCATGGAGGGGGCTCCCCCACCCCCGCTGCGGCCGCTGCTCCTCAGGGAGCACCCACCACCCACTGTGGAGGATAAAACCATCCATGGAACTTGGTGTCCTCACTGCTGCTTCCCTCAGGCCGCACCCCCGGGGCCCACCCCCAGCCAGGGCATCCACAGCCTGGCCACCATCCCCAGCCCATGGGGTCAGGCCACCACTGCAGACAGTAGTGGGAGGAGCTGGGCTCTGCAGGTCACCACCACCCACACTGGAGAGAAGAGCAGGTTTTTAATGCTGGTGAGGAAGGGCCGATTCCTTTCACAGGAAGGTGAGGTCGGTGTGAGCGGGAGGCAACAGAGAGCTGGGTCATCTGGTTCTCCCGTCTGCTCCTGTCCTCCAGGCTGTGAGGCCCTGCCTGGACTCCGTCCTCCCCCACAGAAGCGGGCTGCCTGGACGGGGCCCTCGGGCCACCTCTGCCAAGTCAGCTGGGCCTCACGGCTGCCACCCAAGAAATGACGGCTGCCCTGTGTGTGTGTCCAGGGGCTGTGCCCTCAGCAAGTAGGGGAGGTGCAGATCTGCAGCAGAAAGGCCCCTCCCTTCCCTGGCCCTCAGTCCAGCCCTCATGGGGGCCCGTACAGGTCAGCCAGACGGGCGAAGCGGGGACCCCAGTCCCAGAGGCAGCTGTAGTCTTGATCCTCATCCCCCAGGCTGGACAGGATGGAGCTCAGTGTTCCTGCCACAGAACCGTCCCCCTCATAGTCATAGATGAGAGCGGTGTCATAGGGTGGAACGCTGGGGTCACTGTCTGCCACCTCCAAGCCCTGTGGAGAGGCCCCGGGAGCTCAGACCCCTGCACACACCCCCGGGTACCCTCCACCTCTCAGGCTATAACAGGTCAAGCTCAGCCCCAGGCATGGACATGGACCCTAAAAACAGAGGGGCCCCCGGATGGGCAGAGGAGGGCTGAGGGCTGACCAGGAGACCCTGCCCAGGATGTGGATTTGAAGAGAAATTTTCCTCTGGGTGGCTCTCCTGCCTTAGGGCTGGGACACCAAGACCCCCAGCATTCCATCTGTGTGAGACTACCTGCTTTATCCCTTTTCAAGATTTGGTCAGTGGTTCTGTCCCCACTCTCTCTGCACTGTCCCTCACAGGGTCACACATGCTCCTGCGCTGACCTGCATCTGGGCTTGCCACAGTCCAGGCATCTCTCTCTGAACCACTGCACCCACTGTGTCAGCGAGTGTGGCAGGTGATATAGTGACAGGTGCCCATGTGTTCTCCTACAGCCCACCCAATTGGGTTTCATGTGTTCTGGGCATCTCTTGTGTTGAGTGCAGGAACTCCTTGATGCTGCGTCGTGACAAACCATGGGGTGCCTAGATTCGACAGGCAGCAGCACCCCCAGCCCCAGGGTACCTCAGCTCAACCAGGCCCAGCACGATCTGCTGCAGGGATAGGCAGCTTCCTCTTCTCCCAGGGCTTTGTGTCTGTGGTCTCCTCACCTCCCCAGCCTCACTCAGCCCTCAGATCCTCCCGAGCCCCGCAGCAGCTCAGCCAGGGTCCCCAGCACTGGACCCGCTCTCCATCAATGGTGCATGTCCCGAGGGTCCAGTGAGGTGTGCACACAGGTGGTCCCTACCACATGCACAAGGGCTACAGCATTGTCCCCCTGCCACCACCCCTCTCTGTGCACCCCAGGAGCACCTACATCATTGATGAAGTCAGCAATATTAGCAGGGCTGCTGGGCAGCACGCGGGGGGCCTGGGGGCGCCCTCGGCTGAACGGGGCATCTCGGCGCACTGGTGGCCGGCACAGGGCTGCCAGCTCTGTCGGGTGGCGCAGCTGGTTGATGTCATAGGCATCCTGGGGACAAAGGAGGTGGCATTCAGCTCCAATCAATCACCAGGTGGGTGGGGGGTGTCTGGCAGGGAGGACCTAGGAGGACCTGCAGGCCAGCGGGGGCCCTGCCCCTCCTCCTGGAGCACGGCCCACAGGCTGGGCTCCTTGGGGACCCTCCCAACCACCTCCCCCCACACCCTCCCTTCACCTGGTCCTCCTCTCCGCCCCCTTGCTCATCGTAGTTGAGGATGTTGTCCCGCAGATCATCCTGCAGCCCATGCAGAAATCCCTTGTCGCCAGACTGCTGTCGGGACCTTGCAACGAGGGCCACTGGCAGGGCCAGCACTGAGGGGGGGAAGGGGTGGACAGGAGGAGGTGGGTTCTTGGCCATCGAGCTGAGGCTGGACTCGGGGCTGGGGGTGGGGCGGGGCCGCGAGGGGTGAGGCCAGAGCCCAGCAGGTGTCTGCACGCAGGCACTCACGGAGGAGCAGGATGACACTGGCCAGCACGATGACCAGGGCACCTAGGCTGACGCCCGCGCCCCCTGCCCGCCGGGCAGTGGCCCCTGGCAGACAGGCACCATCCTTGCCACAGTGGCACACCGTCACGTTCAGGGGTTGCTCACGCTGCTGGGGCGGCTGCCCTGAGTCTCGGAGCAACAGGCTGAGGCGGTGCAGACCCTCCCGGACCTGGTGTCGCAGCCGCAGCTGCGCGTGGCTCACTGCAGAGGGTGCTCGAGGTCAGCAGGGGGCTCTGGGGCCTCAGTCTCCCCATCTGCTCACTGGGAGTACAAATTCCCACCCTGCCAGAGAATGCCCTGCAGTGGGAACCAGTAGGACCACAGTGTTGAGTCGCTGCCCCCCCCCCCCATCTCAGGTCTGGGCCCTCAGGAGTGTGGTTGGGGGAACTCACCATTAATCTGGCTGAGGCTCCAGTTCTGGGTAAGCTCTGGGACTCGGGGACTCAGCTGAAAGTGGAAGGGGGCCCCGTGGGGGGGCAGGTCCTCATCTGTGGCCCCCAGGAGAAGGCCAGAGCCCTGACCTGGCTCGCTGCACACGCTACCAGATCGGAGGGACAGCTCAGGGGCATGGTCATTGACCTCCAGGATCTCAACGGATAGGGTCCCAGTGGCCGTCCGGGGTGGGGAGGCTGTGGGCAGGACAGGCCTGGTGGACTCCTTGCTCTGTGAGAGCAGACCGCCCACCCTGGATGTCCGCCCCTGGGAGCGCATAGCTCTCAGCCCTGGGCATTGACAGGGGTGCCCAGCCTGAGCCAGGGAGCCCGGAGCCCGGGCACAGGCTTGGCCCTCACCATCGTCGCAAGCCAGGATAATGGCCCTGTACCAGCCGTCCTTGAGGAAAGGTGATGCTGGGCTGAGCACTCGCTGGGTCTGGACCCGACCCGTGGCTCTGTCCACTTGCAGCCAGTCCTCTGGGTCGTAGTCCTTGGAGTAGCTATTGGCCAAGGAGGGGACAGAGTGGCCCTGAGCTTACACAGGACTCCTGAGGGTGTGGGCACACTTACACACATGAGCATATCCATGGACACATACAGTACACTCACATTCCCCACACTTGCATATACAATGCACACACACACATCCCACACATATGCATGCACACCTGTGCACATTCTCCACTTGCACACGTGTGCACCTCTGACACTAGTGTCCCAACTGCCTTGAGCTGGTGTTTTCTGTCTCAATTGACAGATAAGGAGACTGAGGCCTGGGGCCAGGACCTCAGGACCCCATGGTCACTCAGTGCCACAGCACAACCTTTCAACACATGGACACCATGGAGACAGACATGGGTGCACAGGGGCAGGGGGTGAAATCCGAACTGTGAACTGCTAGCCCCATGGGATCATCAGCTCAGCAGGATGGGCAGAGCTGGGTGCTCAGAGGCTAGCTAGGACAGATGGGTGTCATGAGCATGTGCCAGCTAGAGCCTAACCCTGCTGTGTGGCACAAGTTCACCCCAACATGCACACATGCATGGACCCTCAGGGGTGCATACAGGCAGATGAGCCCTCTGCCCACTGGCCAGAGTACTGATGGGAACCCAACTGTGCTCCTGGATCTGGCTGGGAAATAGACAAATGGACCTGTAGCTCCCTCCCTCCTACCCCTGGGGCCCCCAACCCCGGGGGTCCCCCACCTGAGCCTCTGCAGCTGCTCTGTGTCAGGGTCTTGGGCAGAGAAGGTGGCCACGGGGGTTCCGGGGAGCACCCCCTCTGGCAGGCTGGTCCGCAATGGGTTCTCCTGGAACACGGGAGCCTCGTTGACATCCTGCACCCGCACGCTAACCCTGGCCTGGCCCCGCTCGGCCCTGGGGGCAGCCGCCTGTAAGGGGGCCTCGTTCTGCACTGCCACTCTGAGGTCGTACTGCTCACAACTCTCGTAGTCCAGGGGCTGGAGAGGGAGAAGCAGAGGGGGAAGTCCTCAGGACTAGGACCCCCAGAGGCAGCCACGGGGCAATGTGAGGCCCCTACAAGGGTACACTGCCCCTGTGTCTCTCCTTTCCCTTCTACTTTTCAGCTCTGGAAAATAAAAATGATTCAGGACCAAAAGGCACAAAGAATTATGTAAAAACGATAAACACTCATCATTCAAACTGAATTTGTTAGGTATTGCATCATCAGCTCTATGTGTCACTTGGTCAGGTGGTCCTCCCAGTGACTCGAGCAGCGCTTATCCCGGTGTTGTGGAGAAGGTGTTTGATAGCGGGGTTAAATTAACCTCTATAATCAGCTGACTTTAAATAAAGATTATCCCAGCTGACCCCAGTGAGTCCCGTGCGTAGCCCAAAGTCACCGAGCAGACCTGAAACTTCCTGAGGACAGAGGACTTTGCAAACTGCTGGCCAGCCCTGCAGTAAAGCTCTTCATGCTTCAGTATCTGAATATACCTGTGTCCCTGTGCGTGTGCAGGTTCTTCCCCCAGGCTGACACAGGTGTGCTCTGTATCTACACACATCACCACCCAAAGAGGCACAGCTCCACAAACAACACACAGGCTATGGGGGTGCCAGGGGTCCATGTGGCCTGAGCCTAGAGCTCCAGCACTGCCGGCTCCCCCAGCATCGAGTTCTTTCCAAGGATGCCCCACACGGGGGTCCCCCACTCACCTTCACCACTGACAGCACGCCCTCATTGGTCTTAGGATCCGTGCGGATAGTGAACTGTCCATTGGGATCGCCCTCCAGGATGGTGAACCTGGCTGCCCAGTTCGGGGATCCTGGCAGGTCCCTGTCCTGCACCTCGAGCCGCCCCACGTCCACTCCGCTGACAGCTTCGGTGACCTCCATGAAGAACTGTGGGAGCCCAGACCTCATTACTGCTGGGGCTGTCGGGGGCAGGGAGACGGTCCCGCGAGGGGATGCCCTCCCTCGCCCTCTCCCACCCACTAGGAGCCTCCTGGCCTTGTCTCCTGGTGAGTCACAGCCCCCTCTGTGGGCTCAGCTGAATGCCAGGCACCCTGTGTGCTGCCTTTGGGAGGGGAGGGCCGACTGCTCCCTCCCACGTGGCAGGGGTACAGGGAAGACTCCTCTTGCTGCCCAAGGGCCACAGAGGGGTCCCCCGGGGCTGATCTCCCAGCTTCTCGTGCTGTTTATGTGCTCACGAGCAACTACTCTAACTTGGGCTCCTTCTGCAAAACTCCTAACCTCCCACCCCTCCACAAAGTCCCTTGTCCCTGCCAGGAATCTGAGGAAGGGCGGGCAGTCCCCAGCAGGGGCCAGCAGGGCTGTGCATGGTGGCAGCACCTCATCCTGGGTGAACCCGGGTGCATTATCATTGACATCCTCCAGAGTGATGATGGCCGAGGCCGTGGCAGTGAGGCCGTCTCCAGACATGTCCGCTACCTGCAGGGTCAGATTATACACGGCGACCACCTAGGGGCACAGCAACATGCAGTCAGGGAACCGGGGCACCTGAGGGCCTGGGGGAGGGCAAGGAGATACCACCTTTGGGCGCAGCCCTCCCAGGCTCTCTGGGTCTAACGACACCACCACTAACCCCAGGCTCTGCTCCAGCCCAAAGTGGGTAAGAGGTCAGTGACGAGGGTGGACAGGATTCATGCAGCACTTCCTGCATGCTTATCCGGGTGCTGGACACTGAGGGGCACTGACAAGCTGGGTCCCTGCCCTGTGGAGCCATACCCAGTGGCAGAGAGGGAGGCAGACCAATGAAGACCACCCAGTGCAGCAAGTGACCAGACAGAGCCATGGAGGGGGCCACAGGGAAACCAAGGAGGGATTCCCTGAGGTGCCACAGCTGCACAAAAGCCTGGCAGTGAGGGGCAGCAGGGGTCCCGACAGAGGAAGACTGCAGAAGGGTGGCCATTACTGCAGAGCATAACTGGTCACTATGGAGCCACTCACATAGCCCGACCCAAGGCCAAGAAGCCCAAAGGGGCTGGCATCACAGGGATGGCCCTTCAGTGCCTCCCTGGACCTCACCGCACAGCCAGCCATGAGGCAGAGCGGTGCCAGGCTGGGTATGTGCCCAAAGCCATCATGAGTGTCTATAGCAAGGGGGGGGGTGCCCTTGACTTCGGGGGCCAGGTGGAGCCTGGGAAGAGGGTCCCAACTGGAAATGAGCTGCCCCCATTGGGGCCTAGGGGACTAACAAGGGCAGAGACAGGCCGACATGATAGTGGCTGCCCTGGCCCCCAGCACGTGTGCCAGCATATTGGCAGCCTAACCTCCCGGTCCAGGCCCACTTGCACGGTGCGTATGTCCCCTGTGTGCTCATCGATGCTAAACAGCTGGGGACTGCCCTGCTCCAAGATGGAGTACCGCAGCGCTGCGTTGTCTGTTTCCGGGTCATCAGCATCTGTGGCTTCAGCTCTGGTCACGTAGGTGCCTGGTGAGGACAGGGACAAGCAGGGATGGTGCACACGGGTGCCAGCCCCCTCAGATGTGTCTCACAGCTCCCTCATGCAGCCTGTACACCCTTGAACCTTTTGCCTCGTGCTATGTGGAGGAGGCAGGGGTGCCTGATAGATGTGTAATTGAGAGCTAACACCTGTGCCCCCAGACATGGAGACAGCCTGGTGGGCTGGGAGCCCAATGTGGGGCTCAATCCTATGACCCTGAGATCATGACCTAAGCCGAAATCAAGAGCTGGATGCCTGACTGAGCTGCCCAGAGACCCCAGGAGACTTAATATTGTTAAATGTCAGCACCACCCAAAGTGATCTACAGAATCAATGCAATCTCTATCAAGATCCCAAGGACATTTCTTTTGCATAAGTAGAAAAATCATTCTAAAATTCATATAGAATCTCAAGGAAACCCAAATAAAACAATCTTGAGAAAGAACAAAACTAGAAGACTCATGCTTTCTGATTTCAAACCTCACTCCAAATGTACAGTGATCAAAACAATGTGCTGTGGCTATGAAGACAGACACACAGACCAGTGGGATAGAGAATCTGGGGAAAACCCCACACACGTGTGGTCAAATAATTTTTGGCAAAGGGTGCCAAGACCATTCAAGGGGGATAGGACCGTTTTTTCAACAAATGGTGCTGGAAGACAGGCAGCCCCAATGGTGCAGGGGTTTAGCGCCACCTGCAGCTTGGGGTGTGATCCTGGAGACCCGGGATGGAGTCCCACGTCAGGCTTCCTGTATGGAGCCTGCTTCTCCCTCTGCCTGTGTCTCTGCCCCTGTCTCTATGAATAAATAAAATCTTAAAAAAAAAAAAAAAAAAAACAAATGGTGCTGGAAGAGCTGGACGTCCATGTGGCAAAGAATGAGGCTGGACCCCAACCTCACACCATATACACAAATTACCTCAAAGTAGGTCAAAGACCTAAATGCAAGACCTAAAACTGTAAAATTCTTGGAAGAAAACAGGGCAAATGTTTCACAACACTGGATTCGGTAATGGATTTTCGGATATGACACCCAAGGTACGGGCCCCCAAAATGACACACTGGCCTCATGAATGTTTTCAAATGCTATGCAGCAGAGACACCCCTGACCAGGTAAAAAGGCAAACCAGAATGGGAGAAAATATCTGCAAATCATGTATCTGTGAAGGAATATCCAGGGTGTCCAGAGAACCCATAAAACTCAACAAAAACACGACACAATTTTAAACTGGGCAAAGGCCCTAAAGAGACATTTCTCCAAATAAAATATACAAATGGCCAATAAGAACGTGAAGAGATGCTCCATATCAGTCATCCTGAGGGAAACGCAAACCAAAACAACAAGAAGACATCAGCTCTCGGCTGTTACGATGACTACTATAAAAAAATCCAGAAAATCAACATTGGCAAGGATGTAGAGAGGCCAGGACCCTGTGCATCACTGGATGCATGTGAGATGGTGCAGCTGGCGTGGAGACAGTGCGGCCGTCACTCACAGAATCACCGTATGACCCAGCAGCTCCTCTCTGGGTGTATCTCACTCACATTCATAACATTATTCATGTGAAAGCAAAGTATCCACCTACAAGGTAGGTGAAAATGTGGTCCCTCCATATAATGGAATATCATTCAGCTTTAAGAAGGAAGGACATCCCCATGTGCTACCCCATGGACAGACCTGGAGGACACTCATGACCAGTGAAGTCAGACCAGTCACAGAAGGACAAATGCTCCATGATTCCATTGATGAGGTCCTGAGACAGATTTACAGAGGTGGAAAGTAGATGGGGGAAGCCAGGGGCTGGGGAAGGGGAGGGAGCGTTGGGATTTAATGGGACGGGGTTTCTGTTTGGAAAGAAGGAGAGCTATGGGGATGGGTAGTGGGGATGGCTACACAACATTAGGAATGTATTTAATATCCTGAACTGTCTCCTTAAAGATGGTTGGGATGGTTTGTACGTATGTTAGCAAAACAAAATTTTGTTGAAAACAAAATATCAGTGTCCTAAATGCCTAATAGGTAAGTGCCCACTGCAGATGGAGGGGAATGCAATGGTGCGGGGGCTTCAGAGGTGGACAAGGAACAGAGTCCCGACCTCATGATGGGAATGAGTGGGTGGTGCACCATATCATGCTCATTCTGAGCTTGTCATATTGGCAAGGGCACAGGGTAACCCAATAAACTGAAATCCAGGATGTGTCCAGTCCCTAAGGAGAGGCGGCCATAAAGAGGCTTCAGCTTTTGGTGGAGTGGAGCAGGCAGACAGCAGTTGGAATCGGGTCAGATGGTCCAAGGCTGAGTGTGGATGAGCCTGACAGCTCACGGTCCCAGGAGCCGCCACAGAGGGGCTGTGCCCGTGCTCAGCTCTTCCCCACTGGCCCCGGAGCACTCACATACAGGCTGGGGCAGGAGGACCAGACCCCACAGACGCTCCGGGCGATGGTGGGGGCTGGGGGAGGAGGGTAGGGCACTGCTCCAAGTTGGAGGGACAGAATCCTGATGCAGCCGCACTGAAAAGGCTCAGGTGTTTGGGAGGTCCTACTCCCAGGAGCCCATGCTCCGACCACACGGCAGTGGCCACGCCAGGAGGGGCATGGCTACTTGGTTACTCGGGTGGCAGTACCAACAGGCCCCAGGCGGCTGCACTAATGCAGCAGCAGAGGCCAGGCCAGCCCAGCTGCAGACTAGACCACTTCCAGCACCCGCCAGCCAGCACTCCCAGACGTTTACCACGTCCCTCCCTCTCTCCTGTGCTATCACACACAGAAGATGGGGGGAAAGGAATCCATCCTCAACGATCCAGGGGCCAAGAAACCAGGTCTGTGGCCAGTCAGATGCTGGGGCCACCACCTAGCAGCATGCTGAAAGAACGGGTCAGGGTGTGGGGGCCTCTCCTGAGATGGTGGATGACGCTCAGGAAAGATGGGGACTCAAGAAGGGAGACCTGAGAGGAGTATGAAGGCAGCGCTCTAACTGGTAGCACGTGTCCACAGTAACTTCCTGACTGACGGTTACACCATGTCCAAGTGCTTAGGGCCCATTCTGAGAGCCTCGGGTGTACAACCCACACTCCAGAAAGGAAGGAGGTCGGAAGGAAGGAGAAAAAAGTTTAAAGCAAACATGATAAACCTCACATCTCTGTTGCAATTCTTTGCAACTTTTTTTGCAAGTCTCAAATTATGTCAAAATAAAAAGTAGTAGAGCGCCTGGGTGGCGCAGTCGGTGAAGCGCCCCACTCCTGGTTCCAGTTCAGGTGGCAATTTCGATCGAGGTCCCAGGATCCAGCCTGAGTGGGCTCAGCCCAGAGTCTTAGGACAGCCTCTTCCTCACCCTCTCCCTCTCCCTCTCCGCCTCGTGCTCGCACACACTCTCTCTTTAAAATAAGTCTCGGGCAGCCTGGGTGGCTCAGTGGTTTAGCGCTGCCTTCAGCCCAGGGTGTGATCCTGGAGCCCCGGGATCGAGTCCCACGTCGTTGGGCTCCCTGCATGGAGCTTGCTTCTCCCTCTGCCTGTGTCTCTGCCTCTCCCTCTCTCTCTCTCTGTCTCTCATGAATAAATAAAATCTTTTTTAAAAAGTCTTTTAAAAAAAGAAGTTAAAAAAATAAGATTGTCACTTTAAGTCTCAAAACACGAAAAATGAGGTGAAATAAAAAATATCCAGGCAGCCAAGCAGGAGCCCACCTCCCCGAGTCCAAGCTCCAAGCCTCAGGTGTGCAGCTTGCCTGGGACTTGACCGGACGGGAGTAGGAAGGAAAGAGGGAGGAAACCACCAGGTAGAAGGAGGTCAGGCCAGCAAGGCCATCCTGTGAAGACCCATGAAAGAGGGAAGGTTGTGTGTTTTTTGCAATCAAGATGTAGGACTGAGAAGCAAGGAGCGGGGTGACTGCTAAGGGGGTGCATTTCCCTTTGGAGGGACAAAGTGCCCTGGAACCCAACAGAGGGGCTGGCTAGAGCACCATGCATGCGCCAAATCCACGGAGCAATTCCTTTCCTGTGGTGCTTTCACCTCCGTGCAGAGCAGCAGCATCTGCGCCCCAGCTCTGCCATCCCCCCATCCTCTCACTGTGATTTGGAAGACACTGGGGTTTAAAATCCATAGTGAAACGGGAAGTGACTCCAGTTGACTCTTGTGCAAAGTCCCTTCTCCCGGAGTCTGTTTGCTTGTTTTCAGAGTATTTGAAGGATTACAGAGAAGTCTTGAAGGGAACCCTGGACCCTCTGACCAACTCAGAGCCCCTCTGCTGAGGCCCCCCCGCCCCCCAGCCTGTGGGCGCTGGCAGTCCAGCTCTGCCTCACCTGGCACGGCACCTTCCAGCACCCGGCCCATGAACGCCTCCTGCCGGAAGACAGGCCGGTTGTCATTCTGATCCACAACCACGATCTCCAGGTCCGTGGGCTCCTCTAGGGTGGCTCCTCCGAGGTCCAGAGCAAAGGCCCTTAACTAGCCAAGCAGAGGGCAAGGGCTGGTGCTGTGCTCCCCAGATCCTGGTGGCTCCCCTGGGCTATACACAGGGACAGTGCAGACTTGGTGTCCCGCTGGGAAAACCCACTTAAGCCCGGGAGAAACGGCATGTGGATGGCAGATGAGACCTCCCGGAAGACAGCCTGCTTCCCACAGTGGGCCGGCGGGCAACCACCAGGCTTCCCCTCTTGCCTCGGTGGGCAGCTCACTGCAGTGCCTTATGAGAGCAGAAAGGCACTCTCATGGCGCTCCTGCTCCCTCCCTTCTGCTAATTGGTTTAGGCTCCTCTGGAAACTTAATACGTGAAACTTAAACCACTTCCCACCCTCTTGGAGAGCAGGTGCGGTGTCATTTCCAGGTAAAATCATGATCTCTGCTAACTCTGCGTAAGACTGTTCTGCAGGAAGATTTAGAGCACAGGAGAAGCAAAGTCTGAAGCCTCCTCCCCCAGGACTAGGTGAAAGCAGTTCCGGAGAGGCTGTTGGGGAGGGTGGATTACTCTCAGGGGAACTCATGGGAGTCCACTGCCCTTGGGAGCCTCTCCAGCAGCGTGGGTCTTAATCTCCCTCCCCACCGGCCTTGTTTCACACCTCACAGGCCTACAAGGGGCGGGTCCTCTGCCACCTTCCCCTGAGAATCCAGGGACAGCTGCCACTGAGAGTGGCCATCCGGTGGGATCCTCCACAACATCCCATTCCCACCCAATGCAGCCAGGTGGGTAGAACTGGTGGAGGCCGTGAAGACCTCACCATTGCCTGTAGGCTGCCCATCTGGCCTCCTCTGGCAAGACCAAGCCTCATCTCCTTGTGGCCTCAGCTTGTTCATACTCATCTGTTAAATGGGTATATAACCCTGAACACCTTTGGGCTGCAGGTCCTGTCCCAAATCCCCGTGCCTACCTCCTAAAGGACACGTGGCCCAATGCCCCAACCCTAGGACAGGAGCCTGGGAGAAGGAGGCTCCCAGCTTCCTGCACCCCTCCCTCCAGTGGGCCCCACCCTGAAGCGGTCTGTCTTCTCCCGATCCAGCATGGCGTTCAGGAACACCTTCCCGGTGAACTTGTCAATGGAGAACACGCCCTGGGGCTCCTCATCCACGCCGGGCCCCTGGATGCTGTAGATGACACTGCCCAGCGGCTGCTTGTCCGATTTGATCTGTGAGGGCAGGAAGCAGGCTGGGGGAGGTGCCCCCAAAGGCCAGGGCCCCTCCCCTCTTCCTGGCCTCCCCTCCCCCAGCTGGGGTGGGGGCAGCCAGACCCTCAGCCCAGACCGTGTGCCTGTTCTACAGCCCACACCTCCGGGGACCCAGTGGGGACAGCCCAGCCGCTGCTGTGCCTGTGAAGCTCCGCGGCCCCTCACCTGCACCAGGGGATACGGGAGGCGCTTGTGGTTCTCGGATACGCTGATGGGGGGGATGACCCAGGCTCTCCGCACACGGCCGGACACCACTGCCCGGTGCCAGGGGTAGAGGGTACTGAGCCTCCTCCGCCCAGGGACCCCTAGTGACGGGCCCAGGCTCTACAACAAAGGCAGAGACAGCTGTCAGTCACACAGCGTGCAACCCCGTGCGCCAGGCCTCAGAGGAGCCAACCACCTGGACCTTGGCCCCGTGGGTGCCCTGAGCTCACTCACAGCCATGGGAGCCCCCAACACCTTGGGTCTGTCTCCTGTCCCCCTGCCTCAGGCCCGTGAGTGTTTGCTGATGGGCTGGGAGGAACGTGGCACCCCCCTCCTCAGGTGGCCCACGGGAGGCTACACCAGGGCTTGGGGAGCACACAGTGCTCAGAAGCAGAGGGAAGCAGAGTGACAAGCAAGGCAGCCACTGGGAACAGGAGCAGGGGGAAGGGAGCTCCTGGATCCGGAGGGGGGGGGCTCCCTTCCCCTTCCTCGTCTGGACCTGGGTGGGTGGGGAAGGGGAAGTGATAAGCAGCCACAGAGACCCCCTCATGGCTTCCATTCCCAAGGGCTGGTCAAGGCAACCAGGCCAAGGTTTTTGTCTGCAGGGAGGGGACGGGCCACCTGTGCGGGAGGATGTGGGGTTCACACTGTGAAGCTTCCAGGAGGCAGGCATTCCTGGAGGATCTACAGGGGTCCCCAGGGGCAGTCCCCACATGGCTTCCCCCACCCCCCACTGTTCCATGGGAATGAAGACTCAGCTCTGATGTCCAGGGGGTCAGCCACGGGCAGAATTCTCAGGATGTCCTATGGCATGGGGACTGGACAATAAAGCCAGGGACTACCCCCCCTCCCCCTGCTATTCTCTGACCCATGGAGCAATACTCTGGCTCCTGAACCCCAGAAACCTCAGGCCCCAGGCTTGCTCCTCCCTCCTCTCCACTCGCCCAGGGAACTGAGCTGCCCTGCTTGACGCAGTCCGCCCAAGTTGTGGTGCCTGGGGGGCATGCTGCAGCGAGCTCCCTTCTCTACCCTGGGGGCAGGGTGGTGGGCTTGCAGACACTCCCTGGCCCTTCCCTGGGCCAGGCTGTGGGCTCAGAACCAGGGCCATTGAGGAGCATGACAGGAGGAGGGCACCTCCTCGAGACCCACTGCCAGCTCCCTGTGGTGACGACAGATAGTACCACTGTCACAGCTCAGATGGAAGACCGAGGCCTGGAAAAAGCACCCAACCCACCCCTCAATTAAGGGCAGAGCTGGCAGCAGCCCCTCAAGCACATCCCCAGTTTCCTGGGATGGCCTTGGTTTAAACATGGGGTCTCTGCACCAGGATCCTCAACAGGGCGCTGGCTGGTCTGAGTGGGCTTGGGGTAGGGTCTGGGGGAGGGTGCTTCGTCACCTGCTGGACCCAGCTGGCTCTGGCTGCAGGAGAATGTGAGCAATGCTCCCTCCAAGGCTGCTCATGCCCACCCCCACAACACTGCATTTGCAGCTGCCCCCGCCCTGCCCCTCCCCAAGCCCAAGCCCGGGCAGGCCAGCTGGCAGCAGGCAGAGGGGACACCACCCCAGACACCCGCCCTTGGTACTCTGATGGCCCTAGAAGCTCTCTGGCCCCACACAGGGTCTCTAGGCCCCTGGGCCCTTCTGGAGGGGGGGCTCCCTCCTAGCTAAGGTGGAGAGGGTGGCTTCCAGGGCACCTCTGAGGGGGGCATTCTCCCTGGCTGCCTTTTCAATGTCCTGAATTCACCCCCAGCTGCTGCCCTAAGCCACACAGTCCACAGAGGAATGAACAGGGATGGGGTGGCCTAGTGGCCTGAGGTGGCAGCATCAGCGACTAGTGAAGGGGGTGCTTTGGGGTGGGATGGGCAGGGGCAGGGAGGAGGTGCCTGTGTGTGCCCCACTGCCTGCACTCTTCTCCCCGGCCTCCCAGCACCCAGTCGGCTTTGTGCTCCATGCCCGAGGCTGGTGCACTTTGTGGACACAACAGCAATAACGTGCAAGTGACCACTGCTCTCTCCTTCTAGTCTCAGGCCATCTTCTCCCTCCTGGAATCATCCTCTGCCTTCTCATCTGAAATCCCAGGGGCATTTCCCTCACAGGGGCCTGGGATCCAGGTAGCTGTGAACTGAACTTGGTTTACAAAAAGGACAGAGGTCCTGGCTGGGCCCCCAGGCCATGCACAGCCTGACAGATGGCAGCGCTGGTCCCAAGCCTGCCTCGGGCAGTGAGGGCTTCTTGCCAAAATCATGGAGTACAAACCACTTCCAGGTCAGCATGGTGTTCCCACCAGATGGAGACCTGCTGGCCTTGGTCTTCATGCTATTGCTTCCTGAGTACCCTGAGGACAGCATGGAGCCCATATCCTCTCTGGTCCCCTCAACCTGGCCCTCAGCCCTCAAGCCCCTAGGAATGGGAGGTGGCACTCATTTCAGTTCCCCAGAGCAGGGCTCAGAGAGGTCGAGCCATTCTACTCAAGCCCACACAGCCAGAGAGCACGGGAGCCGGGGCCACAGGGAACCAGGATCTGAACCTCTATTGCTCTTAAGCCGCAAGTGCAGCCGCAGCGTGGAGGAGATGGGAATGCAGAGAACTGGGGCAGGTGGGCAGAGGACAGTCTGCAGACAGCCCTTGATCTCAGACCCTTGGGGGAACAGAAAGGGACACTCTCCCCCCTGTCCAGCCCACTATAGAGCCTCTGACTGCCTCCCATCCTGGCCTCAGCCAATAGCCTTGGCTGACATTCCAGGATGCCCGCCAGTGTGGTGTGGGGCCAGTGTGGTCGTGGCAGAGCCTGGGAGTCCCGGGTCCCAGTCTGTCCACGGCCCAAGTTCAGGAGGTCAGCAGAAGCCACAGAGCCTTGGCAGTGGCCCCCCGCCCAGATCAGAGGCTGCGGTGGGTGGGGTGGTTGGGCTGGGCTGCAGCCCACTTCCGGCTGTCCAGGGTATTGCTCAGCTAGTCTCTGCCCTCCTACCATCCCCTTCCCAGAAGACGTGGCTGGCTGGGGGAGGCCTGGAGCCGCCTGGGGGATCATGGGAAATCTGGTTCCAGGGCAAAGCCAGCTCACACAGACCTCTGGGATATGGGCAACGAAATCCATCATGGAAAACACCATGGAGTGGACCTGGACTCACCTATGCTGCCCACCCTTGCTGTACCTCAAGTTGGGCCAGAACCCATGGACATCATGGGCACATTTCCCCCAAACAACGCCCAATGACACCCCCATGCTCATCCTCGGCCTTCCTCTTAACCACGAACCCAAGAAGGTAGTGTGCAAGCCCTAGAAATGCTGGGGCCACTGTCCCCTCACTGGGGCCCGCCCCAGCCCCAACACCCAACCCCAATGGCTCCTGAGCCATAAAGCTCCCACCACCCCCCACAGGAACCTGTTCTGCTTGTGTGCGGCCAACACAGCTCTCTGCTTCTCTCCACCAGCCCCTGGCGGGTTCAGAAAAAGGAATTAGAAGGGACAGCCTAGTCTCCCAGGAGCCAGGAAGAAGGTGGGATGCTCACCTGCCCTGGGTGGCCACCGGGGGTACAGAAGCTGCTGACTGGGGAGGCTGCGTATAAACTGAGGAGCTCCTGCTCTATCTCCTGGCACTGCCAGCCCCTGCGGCTCCCTAACCACTAGGATTCAGACGGCAGCCCAAAGCCTGAGCTTGGGTGGACATTCATGTCTGTAGCCCCAGCTGCTGCTGTGTCGTGACTGAAGGCGAGGAAGGGAACATTTTCTATTGCCCTGTCGGGGGTAGCTGGCAAATCTTACAAAATACAGCTGCAGAAAGGGGTTCGAGGGAGACGTTCTTGGGTTAATTCTACACTGCGTGTGCGGAAGCCCATCCAACACAGCTTCCGGCTCTGGGTTTCTGGGGTTCTAGGAACCAGGTGGGAGGCCTGTAGCCCCGTGGAACACCGTGGGTGGGGTCTGCACTCCCCACCAGCTTCCCAGGCCCGAGCCCCTTCCCCCCAGGCTGGAATCCGGACCACCCCGTTCCTGGACGGCCTGGCAGGCATCAGGCATGCCAGGAACGGACCCAGCTGTTCCCCTGGTCCCCGGTGGCCCCAGCATCCCCCTGCAGCTGCTGTTCCCAAGAAGGGGGGTGTGGGGCGAAGCAACGGGGCAAGTGGAAGGAGCAGCTGTGTGGCCAGTCTGCTCCCCCCGCTGCAGGGGCTCAGTACAGTGGTCCAGGAGCCACTGCCCTCTGCTGCTTGGGTTACCATCACACTACCTACCATGGGGACGGTGACCCCTCTCAGTACTGGCGGACGTGGCCTCAGCCTCTGTCTGCTGCTAATTTCCTGTTCTAGGTCCTGTCCCAATCGCCCTAAGGGGTCTCCACACTTGGCAGAGTTGGGGGGGGTGGGGAACAGCTACTGCTTCATCTTCCTTCCAGGCTTGGATCCCCTCCCACAGGGCATGGGCTTGCCCTGAATCATCCCTGCTCCCCCATCCCTCTACCACTCTCAGGTGGGGTGGGGGCCCAGGGGTAGGCCTGGCTGGCTGCAGGGACACTGTGTGCCTGGGGAGGGAGCCACCAGAGACCAGCTCTGAAAGGACACACTCAACTCATGGGCTGAGATTTTAAGGGGACACAGGCAGGGGAGGGGTGTGCCTTGTCCAAAGCCACCCGAAGCAACAGATCAATGCAGAGTCCTGGCCCTGGTCCCCAACCAGGGCAGAGACAGCTCTGCCATGCCCAGGCTGGCCTGCCTTGGGGGCTCACAGAGGTGGAGGAAGGGGTATCCAAGAGCAGCCATCAGAGGCCATGTGAGGCCGTGTGACTGGAGAGGACAAAAGTGTGAAAGCTGAGCCGGGTGGTGGAGGGGTGGGCAGGGTCCTGACACACACCTATTTCAGGGGTCTGGAGAAGCTCTCCTTGCACTGGCGCTAATCTGAGCCACACAGAGTGCAAGACCCCAGAGGCCAAGCCGCATTAGCCAATCCCCCCAATTCCATAAAGCCTGTGTATGTTCCTGTGTGTGTGGTCACTCTGTAATAGCTCCAAGGAAGGAGAGGAATCTGGGAGGGGGCTCCTCTCTCCCCGCAGCAGAGCTCTCCTGGGACCTGGTGAAAGGTGAACACCCCAAAGAACACCCCAAACCCAAAGATGCAGCTCTCCAGGAGCAGGATGTGGGGTGGACTGCTGCTCCTACACTAAGTGGGGAGGGGGCATGAGAGGTGTGCAGCCTTCTGGAATGGTCCCCAATGTGTGTGGGGGGGCATAGGGCCCTGTGCGGGGGGAGGCCAGAAGACCCCTGTACGGTGTGGCCTCCAGCAGAGAGCTGGAGGAGTGCAGGCTGGGGCAGCCAGGCTGTGCTAAGCCAGCTGGACATGGGCAGCCCAGGCCCAGGCAGGCCACTGTGGGAGGGCAGGGGAGGCTGAAGGCAGGGGTGGAGGTGACTGGAGCTGTGGGCAGGGGTTCCAGCTGGCTTCCAGCCATAGCTTTTTGAGAGTCGGGGGCAGGATGTCAAGAAGCCCCTATAGTGGGCGCCGGGAAACTTGGTTCTCCTTGCCAGTGTCTGGCACTGTAGGAGCCATCACCTGGGGGCATGCACAGGCTCAGCCCTTATGCTCATTACCCACCAAGCGTGGGAGAACTAAGCTCCTGTGTTCTGCACAGTGGCCCCTGGCCTATGACCCTGACTTAGCCCTGTCTCCGAAGGCACAGCCTAGTGCTTGGTCCAAATGGCCACCTTGGCCCAGAGTATAAGACATGCCCCCCCCCCCAGGGGGTGCCCATGGTGGGGAGGAGGGCAGCTGCCTGGGCTTCCTCCTACCCACCCACTCCCACATCAGAAGGACCAGGGAACCGGGCACAGGCCAGGATTGTGGGGGTGGCAGGCCGTAAGTGCCAGGGGCCTGGCTCCAGAGCACCCCCAAGGGACAGAGGGTTCCAGCGCTGCCGCTGCTGGCGGGCACAGGGTGGGGTGTCTCCAGTTCTGCCAAGGCTGACCAGGGTCATATGCCAGCTCAGCAGGGGTGTCCCTAGAGAAAGCGGTCTGCAGGCTCCTGGCGGGGGTAGGGGGGGTAGGGGGGGTGCTCCTGTTGCTCCCCTCTCCCTGGCAGGGTGGCCAGCCGCTCCTCGGGGAAAGGGTCGGCTGGTGGGCTCCCCATGCAGTCCAGGCGGGGCGGCCGCGGGACCCTAAGCGCCCTGCAAAGAGCTGCCCACCGGGCACCACCTATGGCTACTCCGCACGGGGCTCCCGGAGCGTCCGGCTGGAAGACACCGACCCGACGGGGCAGGGGGCAGGCGACCCGCGCGGCCAGACGCCTTACCTGGGCCAGCAGCCCGAGGGCGAGCAGGAGCGCGACGTCCATGGGCGAGCGGAGCAGAACCGAGTGTCCGGCCGGCGGCCTCCTGCTCGGACACAACCCGGGCTGAGTGACAGCACAAGTGTGCGGGCGGCGGGGGGTGGGGCAGCAAGTGAGTGACAGCACGTGTGCTCCGGGGGCGGGGCCTGGGCTGAGCGGCAACTCGGGGGCGCGTTGGGGGCGGGGCCTGGGCTGAGCGGCGGCACGTGTGCGGGGGTGGAGCAGGGGCGAGGGGTGGGGCCCGCGGTTGAGTGACAGCACTGCGTGGGGGGTAGGAGGCGGAGTCTAGGGCGGGGCCTGGGCCGCGGAATGGGGGGTGCCAAGGGCGGGACCTGGGATGAGCGACAGCATGTGTGCCCCGAGGGCGGGGCGGGCCTGGCCAGAAACTGGAGGGCCGCCGGTAGGGGTCGGCTGCCAGGTCCTGGGGTGCAGAGCTGCCAGAACAGAGGGCGGTGGGCGGGGTGTGGGCTACGGGCCAGAGTGCGTGCGGATTCATCTTGCTGCTCGGGATTCACCAGGCGCACTCCTGTCCCTGGGCCTTTGCACTGGCTCTTCCTGCTGCCCACAGTGCTCTTTCTTTGCTATCCCTCCTGCCGCCAAAGCCATGTTGCTGGCCACCTTGAGGGCTTTGTCTCACGGTCACCCTGGCCACCCTGTTAGACACTGCCCCCCACCCGGCAGAGCCCGTGGCATCTTCTGGCAGTGGGAGGGGGTAGCATGGAGGAGGCCAGGCACAGACAGGGCCTGGAGTTAGTCCTCCTTCCTCCCCTGGTTTCCGGGGCGGCCTCCTGTTAGGTGGGCAGTTCTTGGGTTAGTGTCCTCCCACTCTCCTCTTGAAGCCCCTGAACTCCTGAGTGCCTGGGTCTGTAGCTCACAGACCCAGCTTGCAGTCATGGAGGGTGGAGAGCAAAGTACCAAGAAAGGACCCTGTGGGCCAACAGGCTTTCTTCTGAGCAGGAGTGGAGTGTCGGGGAGGCAGGCCCGGGGCCTCTGCTCTCCGGTCCAGATTGTGGGGCGGTGGAACAGGTGCGGTACCATCTGTGCCCTTGGCCTGCTTGGAAGGAGGCCAGACTGCTTGCAGGAGGCTCTGGCAGTGACGGTGTCCCTGGCACGTACTCCTCCAGGTGGGGAGGTGGCGGGGAGCTCCTTCTATCCCCAGCTCTGTGGCCCCAGGCCTGGGGAGTAGCCCCCAAGGGCCACCGCCCTGCCCTTGAGGTTAGGGACCCTAAACACCTGTAGGCCAGCCCCCTGAATGCTTTGAGTTTCTGCCCCCTGGGACTAGTGTCGGGGGAGGTAGAAGGGAGCAGGTGGCTGGCCTCTGTGCCCCCTGATTAACCTCAGCACACTAACCAGGGGTGAAGGACATGGCCCTGTGAGGCCCTCTCCTCTCTCTGCCCATCCTTCATCCATGCTGTTTTTGGGCATTTATTTGTCTCCCATCCAACAATCTCTGGTGGCGGGGGCTTCCGAGGGGAGGGCAATCTGGGTCTGATCATGGGTGAGCCCCAGATACAGGGGAGGGCTGCTGGGAAGAGGTGTGGTCCCCAGGCTGTGAAGAAGCCTTCCTGCAGGGGCAGGGAGGGGCTACCCTCCTCCTGGGTTCCAGTCCTAGCTCAGGGCTTTCTGTAGCACTCTCGGTTTCCCCATGTGTCCAAGGGAGGGCATTGGGTTCCTCAAGCGTGGAGGTCTCATCCAGGGCTGGTCTGCTCCAGGCCAAAGGGGGACTGGCCCCTCCAGAGGAGCGTTCTCATTTTCCCACGGGCTAGGGGTATCTGGCCCCCTGGAGTCTGTCTTCTGCACCCCAGCTGTGTGGCTCTGACCCTCAACTCTGGGTCGCTCTCCCCACCCCTGTAGCCTCTGGCAGACTCCACCCTCCGCCCCCCATGCAGCTCCACAGCTCACACTCCCCCAGGCCGATGCGGGGGTGCCTCCCCTGCCTCTGGCGGCCAACCCCATGCCTTTGGCTTTCTGTTCTGTGACCAGGAGTAGAACACTCTGTGGAGCCAATCTCTGATGCCTGACCTCATATCCCAGTTGCTAGGTGTGCTAGGGGTAGGACGTTGATAGGCCAGGTGCACGGGGGCTGAGTGACTTGCCAGCACCAGCTGGTATTCACTGAGCATCTGCTTTGCTTCCTGCATGGGACCCCTGCCATGTCCACACCGTCTGCAGCCTGAACACAGCTCCTGGGGCTGCCTGGAGGGGAACCTGCCCAGTGGGGATGGACACGGAGGCCAGAGGTCTGCAGGGGAACTGATACCAGCTGTTGGCCTGGGCAGAGGGCAGCTTGCTCATGGACATCCCCTGGGATCCCTGTGGTCATCCATGTGGAGATGCCCAGGGGCAGTTGCATAGGATGACAACACCCTTCTCACCCCTGCATGGCTGATCTCTCACTGTGGAGACAAGAACAGGGAGTCTGGCGGACGCTCAGGCCAACCCTTCAGTGATGGGCCTGACCTGGAGGTCAGGAAAGGGGCTCGGTGGAGGGCCCCTCAGTTCCCACACTCCAGGCTCTTGGGCTTTAGCGTGGAGAAAGTCCTGGGGGGCTGCTGTCCCAGGGGCCTCAGAAAGAACCAAGTCCTAAGGTTGTGAAACAGCTTCAGGGGGTGCTCTAGGGAGCCCGACAAATGCTGGCCGGTAGGTGTAGAGTATGGGGGACCCCTGTGGCCTGCATGGGGCCTTGGAGTCCTGCGGGGGCTTTCCATCCCTTGGATGGTTGCGGGTGTCAGAGGGGACAGACAGGGTGGGGGTGGGGTGCCTGGGGGCGGGCAGGCTGGGCTGGCCTGGGTACACATGATGTCATGCCCCGGCCCAGGCCGAGCTTGCCCTCTGGCGGCCACAGGATGCGGTGCCGGTGAGGCCATCAGGTTTGGCAGGGGCTTGTCTGTTCAGCCCAGTGAGGATCCCCAAACACACACTGAGTAGCCATTCCCAAACTGTTTTAAAGTCTCGGATGCTCAAACACTGAGGCAGAGTGTCTCAGGCAGCAGACAGGAGACAGGCTGGGTGGGGGCCTGGGGTGCCCCACTGGTTCTGCATCCTGACCTCCCTCCAGAGCTGTGCCTGAGCCCCAAGCCCCCAGCTGCTGGGGCTGGGGTCCTGTCTTGCCCAGTGGCCACCTGCCCTGCAGCTGATATGGTCATCTGGGGTCCAACCAGGGAGGGGCTCTGGACCCACTGGACCTGCATTCCTGGGTCCCCTAGGTGATAATTAACCCCAGTGGCCTGGGAGGGGGCCCGGTCATCTGGTGAGGGAGGCAGGGTGTCCTAGTAGTTCCTGCCAAACATGAGGGCACCAGCAGGGGGCAGTGTGGCTCTAGGGAAGCCTGGGCAGAGGGGGCAGGAGAGCGGGGCTGGTCCTCCCAATTCTGGCCTAGGTGTCCCAGCTCTGCACTTAGGGGCGGGGCGGGGGTGGGGGTGATGGTCAGCTCAGACGTACCTGTCCCATCCTCAGGCTTCTCTGGGAATGGAGCCCCACGGGGACGCTGCATCCCCTCACTCTTCCCAGGACAGAGGGACAGCGGCATAGACTCCTCGACTTCTTGCTCTCCCAGGAGGGATGAGGGGACGCTGGCCTTGGAGTCAGCACAGATTCCTGCCCATGTCCACCCCTGGCTGGGCCGGGAGCAGCTTGCCTGAGAGTTTGCCCTGGTGTTGGCGGCAGCCCGCATGCCCTGGGGGTGGCCCGGTCAGCAAGGGCTCTGGGTCACAGCCTCTGCCAAGGGGCACTCTTGTTGGCTGAGCTAGGTCACCCCCATCAGAGCCCCAAGCTCCTGAGGTCAGCCTGGGAGTGCTCAGGAACCTGGAGTTTGCGGGAACACCTTGGTCATACTGATGGGGCACACGCAGGGCTAAGTGGAGGGCAGGCCAGAGAATAGGTCACCGGGCGCACGTGGTCGTGTTTTACAGGAATTTGTAAGCTGTCTGCAGAAGGTCGGTTTTGATGGAAGAACTCACTCCAGTAAAAACTCTCAGAAGACAGGCCGGGGTACCCATGCACACCAAGACCCTAAGACAGGTGTGTAGGTGTCCCCATCCTGCTCCTTCAGTTTCAGGGTGCTGAGGACCTAGGACAGGGATGGTGTGGGCAGCTGCCCGCTGAGCTGGGCAGGAAGGGGTGGAAGGCAGGAGCCATAAACAACTGGTGAAGCAGGTGTGGGGTGCCGGGGTGGTATGAGACAGCTCTTGGGGCACGTGCACCACATGTGCAGTCCCGGCTGGCCTGGCTGGTGGTCTGTGCCCGGTGGGCGCTGGCAGCAAGCAGACACAGATGGAGCATCCTCAAGAAGGGGCAAGAGGGTGCACCCCTTTGGGGTCCTATGGAGCCTGAGATGAAGCCCCGTTTCTTCAGCACGGCCCCAGTGAGTCTGTGTCCTGGCTGTGACACAAGCCAGTTCTCCAGGTCCTGGAGTGCAGCTGGGTCACACGCCTACACCCTGGGTGCATGGCCCGCAGGGCTGGAGAATGTCAGGCCTGGAAGAAGCTGGACTGATGGGCTCCAGGCAAAGGAGGCCACCTAGTGGCTGGTTCTTCCCAACCTGGGAGGAGGGGACGCCATGCCCAAGGCCTTCGTGCCCTCATCTGTCTCACCCTTCTTTCCATGTGGCCCAGAGAAGCTGCCAGCAAAGCTGTGCATCGGCAGCGCCTCATTCTGAGTGGGAGAGGGTTGGGGGTGGGTAGTCCGCGCCGTCAGCACCTCTCCACCACCCCCCCCCGCCCACTCGACTCAGCCAGCACTGCCACCACTGTCCTTAGATCAATATCAAGTGGACTGGTGACAAATGTGGGAGCAGAGAATCCCAAACAACTGTATAAATCACGCTAACGATCATTCTGAGGAAATCCACTGCCGTAACAGGATCCCTGCAGTCTGCTGGCATATTTCATCTCGCCGATCATGCTGGGGCCGCTGGTGCTGGTGGCTCTTCCAGGCAGTGCAGCCTTTGTCAGCAGGGTGTTGCCGACAGGCGGGGTCGCTGTGGGACCTGCTGTGTGTCCCACCCTGTGACAGGCCCACGGCCCTTCTCCACACAGATGGACCCGGGGCAGGGGTGCCAGGTTGG